CCAGCTACTTGGGAGGCTGAGGTGGAAAGATTCCTTGTGCCCAGGAGGTTGAGGCTGTGGTAAGCTGTGTTCGCTCCACTGTACTCCAGCCTGGGCAATGGAGCAAGACCATGTCTGTTAGAAAAAAAAAAAAAAGTTGATGAGAGAAATATGCAAGGAAGGGGGCGCCTCTCCTTCTGGATAATGTATTTTATTCCAGATATCAAAACTATCTCCAGCTGGATTACATACATGTTAGAAGAAAGTTGAATGTAAATGTGGTAGTGACATTTTTGGGTTTATAATGTCTTAGTTTCCTTTGTAGCAAAAACAGTTTTAAAAAACCCATGTTGAAAAAGAGGGAAAAAGTTAGGACTTGTTACTAATCTCGTGGCTGAATAATTAAGTGTGCCTAATTCTGAAAGTAGCAAGCTAAATTATGCAGTGCCAAAAGTGACAACTCTCATACCTACACCATCCCATCTACAGCGGCATGATTTTAGCTTTATAGCTAAAAAACCCTGCCAGAAAACCTAATAAAAGGAAGCAAAAATATTTCTGTTTATATCAAGCTGCCATTTGAGAAAGATTTTAAAATATGTTCTTTCCTATGTGTAAATTTGACAGCAGATGCATAATTAAAACCCCAGTGGAGAGTTTCCATTTAATCTTTTCAAAGTTAACTGACAAACATCCTTTAGGATGTGAGGTGATGAGTTAATTTTCTTTGGATTGTTTGGAATATCTCTGAGCTGGAATATTGCCTTCAAGAATATTGTTTCATGCTAAAAGAACACAGACACTATCTCTGTCTTTAGGAGTTCTTAGAATCACAGGACGTGTAGACGACAAGGCCAAGGCCACACATGCATAGATGAGTGATGGTTGTCTTAGATGTTTGTTAATTGGGGGAATGAATATATGAATACATTCACATTAAAACGAACTTGATTTCAACCCCTAGGGAATATGTCACATAGCATAAATTGGAGAAATAATAATTACCCAGGATTTCAGTTCAGTATAAGCAATCAGTATGAATAATTTGGACTACAAAGTGGATTTTTATTTTGCTTGAGTTATTCAGATTAACTTTCTACACAGCCTAAACGACTGCTGAATAATCACACTGCTGAAAATTTTCCACTGGTACTGCACTGTGTAGACACACGTGTATCTACACGATAGCAAACTGCCCAGCTGTGGATACAGGACCCTGTTCAAACCAAATGTCAGGATAAACATTCTACATCATCATAGCGTTCCATGTAACCTTGAGTACACACAGCCATACCTGAACCTTTCATTATATCTTTGACCAGGTGAAAGCCCATTCCTGCCCCTTCTTCCCCTCCTCTATAAACATGTGCTCTCAAGAGTGTGTGTGCCTTCATGCACACACACATGTGCACACATACACACACTGGTGCAAAAAAAGGGCAGAAAGCAAGTGACTTCTGTCCTTAGATCCCAGTTTGCCAGAAGTTCTTTTACTTGTTCGTGCCTCATCTCTGCCCTTTACACTGGCTCTTGCCTAACTAGCTAAGACCTGCCAGATGCTTCTAACTTGTCTGACCTATAAGATCTATCTGATCCTTCAAGTTTTCTCTGGAGTTAATCAGTTGATGACCTGACCAATAGACCAGCAGACCAGTACCTGGCCTGGTTGGTCTCTCTCTCTCTCTCTCTCTCTCTCTCTCTCACACACACACACACACACACACACACACACACCTCTCTCTCTCTCTTTTTCTCACTCAGACAGACAGACACATACCTTTATTAAATACCTTAGTTTCAAACAAGAATGTTCCCACCAATTATATGCATGAAATTGGTGGATATTGCACAACTTAGTTTCTGGACCTAGCTGAACCCTTCATTAACTGTGTGACCATTGACAAGTCCCCTAAACCTGTTGCCAAATGAGATTGGGCCAAAGGTCCCTTTCTTGTTCTAATCCTCTTCAGTGAGGATGGCGAAGATATGTTGCTCATAAATGCTGCGATTCAGCTGCCCATGTTGGAATATGCCTTAATCTTTGCCACGTAGAATAAGCTTTAACCTTTCAAAATACAGCCTGATACACACAATCATGTTATGGAATGAATGGAAGGGAAGATTTTCTACACTAAAGTCTAGATGAATATAGCTGGGTCTACACAACACACACACACACACACACACACACACACACCCTTTTGATTAGGCAGTATACATAGCTGAACCAAATCATTTTGTTCCCTTGAATTCCATAGCACTGTGTGAACCATATACACTGTGATACCCACTCATCAAATAAAACTGAGTATGTGCTAATTTTCCTCTTCATTGGATAAAGAGGCAGATTAAGAATCCTGACTGCCCATTGTGGACTGAGCTTTGGCTCCCTGATCTGTTGAACCCATAAAAGCATCAATGATAATAATAATAATAATTGTCTCTGAAGATTCAGGCCATTTAAGAGAAAGGAACTATGTAAGCAGAAGAGAAACTGACCTGTGGAGATCTTTACTTAAATCTTAGCCAAGTGCATTTTGCAAAGAGAAAGCTGAAATGCCAATTACTCTACTTGGAGATTCAGCAGAACTTATCTGTCTGATGGAAGTGACCAATTTGAACCACTGACCCCAGCAGGGTGATAACCAGCAGAGACCCTGCTACCTGTGTGGCTGTCTTGGCATTCTCACAGAGGGCTAGTTCAATCCTGAGCTGTATACGTGCTGGTTTGAATGTTTCCCTGCAGATTTTGGAAGCAACATGCTGGGTCACTCGAAACATAACCACTTGCTTCAGTGTAGCCCTCCTACATTGCTTGCCTACATCTGCAAACACAAATCAAGAAAGAGAATATAGTTCCCTTCCACTTGACTGAAGAACAGCCAATCCTGCCAGTAGACTAAAGGCTGGGGCATGGAACAATTTCCCAACACACTGACTTGATTTTGTGCAAACTGCTGAAAGAGAAGCTTTAGAAGCTGTGGCTGGGCTCAGAATCAGTGCCTCCTAAGAGGCCCCAAACGACAGATTGATGGAGCTCATCAGAGACCACAGGTCATTGGAATGGGGCCTTATTTGGATGGACTCATGGCCCAAAAACGAAAGGGACACTGGCAACAGCTTCCCCTTTAGCCTGTGGGTTCCATTAGGAAGCCGGAACATGTCACTGGAAAAAAAAATGCTGTGACCACCCAGTATGTGCATAGGTGCCTCTAGGTAGAAGAAAGGGAAAGGCCGTGTTTACAAAACGAAGAGCGTAAGTCAACAATGAGCTATGGATGCATGATGTCATCCTCCAGGACTAAGCATCCTTAGTACTTTTAAAGCACTTAAAAAAAAAAAAAAGAAAGAAAGAAAAAACTCTAGTTGCTATAGCAACTTGATGCAGCTCTTAAAAGGGGATTTTTTTTGAGGGGGTCATTTTATGTCTTCTATCACCATAACAACATGATATAGCTTTTTAAAGAGTATTTTTATCCAATTTGTGTGTGCTTTGGACTTGGGCCATATTTGCCTTTTCTATTTAAAATAATCAGATCAAGCATGACACATGAAAAATCATTGAAGGCAAGGAAGTGCTTTCATAGACTATACATATACACTTAGACATCTCTAGCTGCTCATATGCTGCACATGGAGGCAGCCTCTCTCCCTGCCTCCAAGCAGCCATCTGCCATGGCTTACCCTGGTCAGTTACAGTCCATGCTTCTGTCTATGAACTGGCATACTAAACCACTCCAGAAGGTGTGTCTTTGAAATCCCTCACTTCTCAGCCCAGCAAATCCAGCCCCCTCCTCCAAAACTGCACAGCAGGAGACAGTGCCTTGGGGTGACTAGAGGTGTGACCAGCCAAGTGCCTTCTTCCATCTTGGGCTTCAAAGCAGGAGTGGGGGACACACACAGCTTTGTCAAGGTAATAAGCCTCTATTTCTGCTGCATTCCATACAGGTGAGTAACTGAGGGTGGGAGCTTTGTTTCACATGACACCCAGGGCCCAGGGAAAGTGGGGGATGGGGAAAGTGAGTGAGAGGAGAGGAAAAAAAGAGGAAGGAAGGGGTGGATGGAGAGCAATGGTGGCTCCAGAATTTCTCCACAGCAGCTCAGAGGCAGCAATCTGGCCACAGAGAGGGGGGGTGGGGGCTTGAAGGACTATTTACACAGCATTCTTATAAGGTTGAGAAAACATGAACTGTTTATATCCCAAAAAAGGGAGAAGAGATGATGGAAAGAATAGGGGAACTATCCCTGCTCCCAGCTACCCTTTGCTACCATTAATGGTTGGAAAAAGTGGCAAGGGATCAAGGAAAAGGTCAAGAAATTGGAGAAGAGGCTGGGAGTTGGGGGAGAGCAGAAGGAAGGGAGGCAGAACAGCAGCAGCTGAAGTCCTGGCTTCAGGCTAACGGGCTTTACTTTAGGGGGTGCGTGGGGGGGGGCGGTATAGATTATAGGAGTAGCAGGTGGGAAGGAGATCTAGGGAAAGTGATTCTGGGGCAAGTGGTCCCCGCTCTCCAGGGTAAAGGAGTTAGAGGCCACTGGAGGGGGGAAACATAGGGTAAAAGAAGAAAGAGGGAGAGACTATGAAAAGAAATAAAAGCACTGAGGGTGGAGGGAGAAGGGGCTTTTGAGATAATCCTGGGGAGGAAACTGAGGCCCAGGGGTTGTGGATGGAAAATAAAAAAGAACCCGTAGCCCTTGGCAGGTATTTTTAGAGGAGAAAACGGAGGCTCACAGAGGTCAGGTCACGGAGCCTGACAGTGTCGGAGCGCAGGCGGTCCGGGCTCTCTCCATTCAGCCACACTGCCAGGCGGGTGAGCGCCAGAGGTGGGCTTTTCTCCCGCACCGAAAGCGGGGAAAGAGAGAGGGCGGGGGCGGGCGGAGAAAAGAGGGCGAGACAAAAGTAGGCAAAGGGACACTACAAGGGAAGGGCGAGCCGAAGGACGCGGACTGAGCGGCCGAGCAGCGGAAAGGGCGGCAGGTGAAAGGCACCGAGAGGAAAGACGCGCGGGGGGCGCGCCGCTCACCTATGGTTGACACCACGGTGCCCACGAAGTAGAAGGCGCCCGGGAAGTCCCAGCGCGGGCGCAGCGCGTCGGCGCGGACGCCGGCGGCCAGCGCGGCCTCGTAGTGCCGGAGAAAGGCGCGCAGCTCCGGCTCGGCCACGCCGTGCGCAGCGCTGAAGTTGCGCAGCGTGGCGCCCCAGCGCGCCCGCGCCTCCGCCTCGCCGGGGCTCTCGAGAGCTGAGAAGACTGTAGCACCCGCCACCAGGTAGAGGCCGATGAGCGCCGCCAGCAGCACGAAGCGGCCGGTGTCCTCGTTGAGGTGCGAGCGGCGGCAGCAGCAGCAGCAGCAGGAGGGGCGCGGCAGGCGGCGGCGGCTACGGCGGGGCGGGGGCCGGGGGCTGCGGGAGGACATGGTCCGGAGCTCAGCCCCGGGGCCGAGGCGGCGCTCGGGGCCCGGGCCGCGACATCCCCCCGGCGGGAGCAGGAGCGTGAGGATGGTGGCCAGGGGTCCGGGGCCGCCGCGGAGCCCCTCGCCGCCTTCCCAGAGCCCGGACGGAGGGGCGCCTCCGCCTCCTCCCGAGCGCTCAGGCCACACGCGAGTCCCGCGGCCCAGCGGGTGCCCGAGCAGGGGCGCTTCTCTCCGCGCCCCGACGCCTCGCAGGCTCCCGCGGCTCCTTACCCGCCGCCCTCGGGCGCGGGGCTCCGCAGCTAGGCCCCTGCCGCCCCGTGGCCGGCGTTCGCGGGGCCCCGGGCCTCATACTCCTCTCCAGACAGGCCGCGGGCTGCGGGCGGGGTGGGCCGTGGAGCCCGGGCGCCTAGGACCGGGATACTGCAGCCAGGCACGGAGAGAGCCCCTGGGGGCGTCCCATGAGTCGTTCGGGCTCGGCGGCTCCTATGTGCGGGCTGCGCGGGCAGTCCTGCTCCCGCCCCCGGAGGTGAGCAGGCGGCGTCGGCTTCGGAGCCTCGGAGCCGAGCGGAGTCCGGGGAAGCGCTCCTTTCTCAGCTCTAGCCGAAGAGCCGCCCGGCAGGGAGAGGCGGAGTCACTGGCGCCCGGGGCGGGGTGTTGGGGAGGGGTGGGTAGGGACGGGAGGGAGGGGGTGGAGAGTTGGGCTGCTGCGACGCCTCCCGGTGGCTCTCGTGGCACTGATGCGGGGCACCGGAGCAGGTGTCCGACTGCGGTGCTGGCTACCACCCCGCCGGGGAACCTCGTCTTGCCCCTCCCTGCGCTTCTCCTCCGGAGTCCCTCCCTTATCTCAAGCCGCGGTGAAACTTTGCTTAACTTGGTGATGCTCCGAGGTCTCCAGGGCTGGGGGCCGCGCGACGCGAATCCTCTACACTGGGCTCTCGGGCTCTAGTCCGAAGTTTAAGTTCCCCCTTCGCTAACTCCTTTGCTCTGGATAGAACCGCGGCTCCAGGAAGCAGCGGGTTCCATTGGAAACCGGGAAGCGGGGAGAGGCGATCCCTGGGCTCCGAGCGACCCGGGAACGAGGACGTTTGCTCCCCCTCCCGACCGAGCGGGTGGCCGGCGTCAGCACCGCGGACAGCGCATCGGTGCGGCAGCTGCGGGCAGGCGCGCTCAGCTAGGGTCGCAAGGGTCCGAGGCCAGGGCGAGGCTGCTCACCCCGATGCGCTGTGCTCCTCAAACCCTCCCTGTTTTCCCTTCTACCTCCCGTGTGCACCCCCCACCCGCCACCCGAGGCAGGTGCGGTCGCTGAAGCAGGCTGCTGACAGGGCGGGGACGCTGCGGAATAGAGACGGGGGAGGAGTCAAGCGCGGGTGGGGGACCAAGGTGCCACGGGAGGAGAAAGCGCCCAGGCCCGGGGACTGCCGGGCTCCTCTCGCCACCCCAGCTCACCTCCTCTCTAGCCCGGGGCGGGAAATAAGACCCTGGCTGCGGTAGAGAGTAGTGGAATAGAGGAGGTGTAGGGGAAGCTCCAGTAGCAGCTCCCCTGAGGCCAGCGCGGGGGCTATGGAACGCCCCGGGGAAATGGTCGCCCCCTACGCCCCACCGCGGCAGGAAAAGACTGCAGATGCCCCGCGCGGCTGCGGGCGCTTCTCTGCTGGGCACAAGCAGGCTTTGCCGGGGCCACAAAGTTCTGGCGAGCAACACCCTCAGTATAGGCAGAAAATCATCCTCTTCGGGCAACCAGCTCCTTCCCTGTCCTCCCCCTTACTATAGACTGCAGGAAGAAGGACCCTGGTGATGATATGATGGCAGAAAATAAAAATAATAATGATGACAGTGCCTAGATATCCCAGGTGGGTCAGCCGTGGCAAAATGCAGACTCCTGTCCGCTGCCTCCCCCCAACCCCCACTCCCGCCCCTGCCCCCACCCATTTCTAATCCGGGGCTGTCTGGCTTCCAGAATAGGACGTATTCCAGGCTAAAGTCAACCCAAAGGGGTGGCAGCAGCGCCAGTCAATTATGGGTCACAGTACTAAAAGTGTTCCCTCCACTACTCACTGAGCATTTCACACCTTTGAAACCAGGGCCGGTCATAGAATGAGAGGTGGGCTCCAGGACAGGAAAACTGCCCAAAGCTGAAAGGCATCTGACTTGGGATGTTGATTGTCCCAAACCAGGGGGCTTTGGAGATTCGGTGTTCCCAGATATGCTGCTCCAGTTTATAGATGGAGCCAAGTACGCTTTCCTCTGTATTATGGAGAGGTGGGTAGAAACTCCACCACCACCATATCAGAACTAGGCTTCCTCGCTGGATGGCATGTGGCTAGTTTTGCAGGGCTCTCCTTAGAATGGCACAAGGGTGTCTCTTTGTGAGGGGGAGAATATCTTATCCACCAAGAAAGCTGAACCAACCTCTTTTCTGGAGCACAGTACAAGGTGTATACAAACACAAAATTGAGTTATTGCAGACTATTGTTATTGCCAAAACCAAGTCACCTCTTTCTCCAAGGCTTTGCCTCCCCTGGACTCTCCACAGATGCTGCCCTAGGCCCTGTTCCCCCAGTAACCCCATTCTTATAGCTTCAGCACACAGTGAGGACAGCCCTGTCATGGACCTCTGGGGCTGGATTCCACTTGGCTGGTCAGCTCTTGACAAAAGCCCTGAGAAGTGTCATTCTAGGAGTTGTCCTGGAGACTCCAGATGTAACTGAAGGGCATTGCCAGGCTTCTCAGAGGCTGTCTTTGCCCAGACTCCCCAAGCAGAGACAGGGTGCTTCGCTGCAGTGTTCCCTGCCTCTGGGACCAGTTCCTTGCCCAGTTGGCAGAAGGTCTGTCTTGTCCTCCAACTTGCTATTTTAGCTTGATTAGCAGCAAATTTCTGGCATCTATCTCAGCTCCGAATGACCTAATCAATTTATGTAATAGGGAAATGATGAGTTCCCTGCACACAGGCACAGGATTTTTAGGGAACCAGCCCCGTGATGAATGCGGTGTTTGCCCACTAAATCAATGTTTAAGCTACTGACTTCCAGCTGGCTATGCTCAAAACTTTTATCCCAGTCCTGAATTGCTGCAACAGACACCCAAGGATGAGGGCTTGCTTAGCATCTCCTCACTTAGGTCCGTCCTGCCTGCACCTGCCAGTCATCACTGTGATCATGCCCATCTGATCTGATCATGTGATTGATGTATCAAAACTACAGTCTCCAATGTCCCCTAAAGCTATAAAAACGTAGTCTTTAAACCTTGAGGCTGCCATTCAAAGACCTTGATGAGGTGATTTCTAACAAATCATTCCAGCCTCACCTTCTATTAACTTTTACTTATTCTCCAAGTACTCTATATCCAGCCCAATCACTAGGCCTTTACTTGTGCTGTGGCCGCTACTAGAGCACCATCTTCTCTCTTCTCTCCAACTCTTACAAAAACCAGCTCAACTCCGGTTAGACATTTTTTCCAGAAAGTTTTTCCTTTGTAGGATATTTTGAGCCAATCACTTCAATGCCACCTTTTCAACTCCATGATTATTTAATCTGCTATGCATGCAAAAATTTCTGATAAGACATGCAAATAGGTACAGCCTCTCTGTCTTTCTCTTTTCTGTCTCTCTCTCTGTCTTTCTGCCATATATATATATTACATAAACATAATATAGGAGTGTTAGCCAAGAAAATTAGGTAAGGTCAAATGCAACCAATTGACAACTCCAGTCCTAGGTATATACCCAAGAAGATAAGCAAAAATGTACCTTCACAAAAACTTGTACATGAATATTCATAGCAGGACCATTCATAATAGCCAAAAAGTAGAAAGCAATGAACCTATAAGTCCATTAACTGATTAATAATAAACACAATGTAGTATATTTATACAATGACATATTTGGCAAGAAGAAGGAGTAAGTACTAATATATACTACAACGTGCATAAATCTTGAAAGCATACTAAATAAGACGCCAGTCACAAAGGATCATATAGTGTATGATTCCATTTGTATAAAATGTCCAGAATAAAAAATCTATAAAGACAAAGCAACTTAGCAGATGCTTAGGGATAGGGGTTCAGGAAAAGGGGAGTGTCTGCTAATAGGGATGGAGTTTCTTTTGGAAGTAAAATTGTTCTAAAGTTGATTGTGGTGATGATTGTTCAGCTCTGTAAATATACTAAAAAGCATTAAATTATATATTTTATTTTTTGTTAATCAATGAGAGCTTGTGATGTTGCTCAGGTTGGCCTTGAACTCATGGCCTCGCCTCCTCAAGCACCAGGACAACTGGCTGGAGCCAGCACGGCCTCCTAACTTGTACATTTTAAATGAATGAATTGTATGGTATGTGAATTATATCTCAATAAAGCTGTTAAATACAATGATGTGAATTGAGATAATCTTTATTCAAAAAATTGAAATAAAAAGGAATTTATCTCAAGGAAAATTATTTCTTTTAGAAATGAGAAAATTTGAAACAATTTAATTGTATTATAGAGAAAATTATGAAATTAAATTTGAATAAAGGAGTTTTCTCCAGAATACTTTCTTTTAAAAATGAATCTGTGATGGTAAAATTTGGGTGACAAGTTTTGCATTCTAAGTAGTAGCAGATTCAAAATGTTCTGGTTGCCTTCAAACCTCTTTGATCTTCTTGTTCTCAGAACTCCTCTGGTACTCATTGTCTGTATTACTTATTGGCAATTAACCAGATACTATTTTTTAATCTGGAGAAGATGATTATCTCTATCCTGCGAAGCGTCACTTGAGTGGCCTTCTTAGTAAAATAAATAGAGCAACCTCCTCCCCCCATTCTCCTAGAATTAGGGTTTTATAAAATCTTTTATGTTTTAAGTCGGTTAGCAAATGTTTCCTTCCACCATGTTTCACAGAGCTGGTAGCTGGGGAGGAGTGAACCAGTTTTACCCAGAGCCTTCCAGAATGGAAGGGAAAGACATCTGATTTGTCTTCCCTCAATTTAATTAAGGTCAAGGAGTCTTGTTGAGGAAAGCATGGGGGGAGTCTGGTCATAGCCTAGGAGCTGGGAGAAAGGCCCCTTGAAATAAAATTATTCTGAGGAAGCAGGAGGCCTAGACAAGGGTCTAAGTGCTTTGGTGACAGGATGTAATGGATGCTGGATGCCCTTGTAGTTCAATCTCCCTAGAACTGTGTGGGATTTGAAGACAAGGGTTGAACCTGGACTTGTGACCTGAGAAGACAGTATAGTCTTGGTGCCTAAAGTGGTTCCTTATGATAAAGCGCATCTTGAGTGGTGATAGTCAAGAAATGTCTCGAATGGTGCAGCAGCATTTAACAATAACGTTTGTAATAGCACTTATAATACTGTCCTCCTTTTCTTCCCAATTGGCATTTGAAAGATGGGGTTCCTGTTGGACTGAAAAAAACATGGGTAACATGCCTCTATTTCCATATTGCTCTTGTGTCTAGATGTTCTATCCATTATTTAAAGTGAAATATTGAGGTCTCCAACTACATGAGTGAAACTATCTAGTTCTCTCTTCAAATACATCAGTGCTGGTGTTATATAGTTTGAGGCTCTGTTGTTTGCTGCATATATGTTACAATTGTTATGGCTTCTTGAGGAATTTACCCTTTTGTTAGTAGAGATGGTGTCTGATTTACAATAGTTTGACTTACAATTTTTTGACTTTACAATGGTGTAAAACCACTGCACTTTTGACTTACTGAGTAGTACTCAATAAATTACATAAGATATTCAAAACTTTATTATAAAATAGGCTTTGTGTTAAATTATTTTGCCAAATTGTAAGCTAATATACATTTTGGACTTATGATATTTTCAACTAATGATATGAATAGGAAAGAATTTATCCCAAGGAAAATAATTTCTTTAAAATAAAAAAATAGAAAAGTTAGAAACAATTTAACTGTGCCATAGAGAAAATAGTGAAATTAAATTTGGATTTACCCCCATCATAAATTGGGGAGCATCTGTATATTATGTCCTTTTTTTGTCTCTTATTATAATTTTTCTTTTTGAGACAGGGTCTCTCTCTGTTGCCTAGACAGAAGTGCAGTGGCACAATTATAGGTTACTGCAACCTAAAACTCTTGGGCACAAGCAATCCTCCCACCTTTGCCTCCCAAGTAGCTGGGACTACAGGCACGCACCACCTTGCCTGGCTAATTTTCTTACTTTTCATAGAGATAGGGTCTCACTATATTGTCCAGGCTTGTTCTCTCAAAGTGCTAAGGTTACAGGCATGAGCCACCGCAACTGGCCTATGACAATTTTTGGCTTAAGGTATATTTTTTCTAATATTAGTATAACCTTCCAGCTCTCTTTTGGTTACTGCTTGCATGGAATATCTTTTTCCATTCTTTCATTTTCAACCTATTTGTTCTTAGATCTTAAGTGAGTCTCTTGTAAACAGCATATAGTTGGGTCATGAGACTCTTAAAACTCAACTTGTTAAAAATGTGTGATTGTTCAGCTGCTTTCTGGTTATTTCCAAATAACTGATTAACTCATGAAGAGATATTTATGGAGAAGCTACCAGGTACAAAGCAGTATACTATAAACTCTCTTCTCTCTCTCTCTCCCCCCCACCGTGTGTGTGTGTGTGTGTGTGTGTGTGTGTGTATGTGTGTGCGTGTGTGTGATAAACCTTGCTCTCCCTGCAAGAGCTTAGAGTCTGGCTGGGGTGATAAGAGGCACATGTATGAAGCAGTAGGGACTATGACATAGCAGATACAGTTAGGAGCTGACTGTGTGGTGCTGATCACGGGACGTCAGAGAAGGGAGCCTGTAGCAAGGGTTGCAGGAGTCAGAGGAAGCTTTGGATAGCAGGAAGCTTTGGATAGAGAAAGACTGGGAGCGAGACCTGAATGATAGTTAAGGTTTGGATTGACTAAAAGAGAGGGGCTATCCCCACCAGGATTATTGACCTGGGTGCAAGTATAGAAGCAAGAAAAAGCATATTGCATTCAAGGAACTATGGTGGGCTGATGTGGAGTATGGGTGAGAGGAGAGGGAAGAATCTCTTTGTTATAATCCAGGACCTCCATTGGTGGCCTCTCAGCCTTTCTGTACAACTTTAGGGCATAGACTAATTGACCCTGTGGAACCCAAAGGTGAGTTTTTTCCTTCCAGAATGAGAGTCAGATATATAATATAGGTTGACTCAGGCTCAATAAAGCCAATTTTATGGCAAACTTTCTTTCCCCATGAACATTGCCACACTGAAAGACATAAGCTATGTCTGCAGGGGATCAGGAAGACAAATTAGGAACATATTGGGTGTAAAGTTAGGGGCTCTGGTGTTAAAACCTCCCTGGGTTCAGTTGACACATCTGTCTTTGTGAAGAATGCACTATGTCATCTTTAAGTCACCATAATATTTGAGGATTAATGAAGCCACTGATTGCTGCCTGTTGATAGGGACTTTGGAAATGAAGACAGGAATCCTAGAGTGAAGAGGAGCCTTAAAGCTTTGAGGGCAACTCCTTATTTCCTAATCCTCTTGTCCAGAAAGTTGTGGGTTCCTTGTCTGAATGTCTCTATGGAGTCCTGTCTTCTAATGCTGAATCATTCTTTATTAAGAAGTGATTTTTAAAAAATTATTTTTAAATACCTATTTCAACTCTTTCTTATTTTAAAATATAATCTAGATTTTTTTGTTCTCTAGGTAAGGTCATATGTGAATTGATTTTGTCTCAAATGGATTTTGATATAACTTTTTAAGACTGTATAAGTAATACATAATTAAATTCTGATGTGACTTTTAAAAACTATAAAAAGTAATGCATAATTAACTTCAAATAATTGGAAAATTCAGGAAAGCTAAAAATAAGAAAACAAAAATTACACCCAATTCTATCCCATTATGCAGAGAAAATTACTGTTATCAATCATTTTAATGATTTTACTGCCTAGTTGGCTGACTCTGTCTATCCATATATACATACACATATTTGACTTTAGTAAAGTTGTAGGTTATTTTACATACTACTTTAAACTTACTTTTTTATTTAACATCATATATCATTCAAGACACCTTTCGATTTAAACATATTTGTTGAGCACCTACTATGTGCCAAGCACCTACTATGTCTCAAGGTACCTGAGATTGTCCAATGAACATAGAGCTCATATTACTTTTATGTCAATAAACACATACAAAGTATCATTTGTTGGCCTAGTGTCTTCTAAAATAAAGTGGTAGCTGAATTTCTGATTGGTAGGTATTGCTGGATTTTTAAGGTTTCCTACTCTTCCCTCTTCTCGTCTTTAGTTCATCATTCTTTTTTTCTCTCATTAAAATATCAGCAAATGTTTGAGTTTGGCTTCTCAATGAGACTTCTAGTTTCCACCCAAATCTTTGTTCAACCTCTTTTTTAGCAACAGAACACCCATTTTATTTGAGATGTCGCTGTGACCAGTTAAAAGACCCTATTTTCCATTCTCCCTTATAAGGTGAAACTGTATTTTTAAGTTTTAGCAAAATATTATGTGGAAATTCCAGGAAGGCTGCATAAAGGAAGCTAATTCCTTTCCACCATTTCTCCTTCCTCCATCATGCTTCCTAGAATATGGATGTGATGACCAGGACACCAGCTGCCATCTGGAGTCATGAGGTGACTTTGAGGATGGAAGCCACAGTGTGAAGGAGCAAGTTCCTGCTTGAATAAGTCTGAGACTGGAATTTAGACCTTCAAATATGGTGAGACAATCAACAGGCCCGACCTTCATTTGCTTACAGTTGTTCCTCTCATTTCCTGATCTCCCCTCTTCTTCAGGTGTTTTGTTTGTACCTTGTGTTCTCATCATGGTTGACTTTCCTGTGGGATTTCCCCTCCATTTGGTTCCTCCATACTCTTGCAGTTGAGAGAGAAGAAATGTCAATAACTTTTCTAATCCAAAGCCAACAGGCTGTCAGAACCAAGAACAAAAACACAGCAAGGGAGGAGGGTTTAGGAGAAAGACGCTACGAGCTATGAGCTAATATCTCATCATTTGAAAGAGTCAGGAATCTAAGAATATTGAACTAATCTTTTTAGAGAGCGCATTTGTTTTAGCTAGGCAACACTAAAAAGGGGATGAGACCCAGAGGAGGAAAGAATGGAAGGTGTCATTGAAGAGTACATAGATTATGGAAGCTATGATTTTTATATTTATTATATAAATTCTCATTTATTAACTTGCCTGAGGGTTGCAAAATGTGCAAAGATGAGATTTGTTCATTAGACATTAAGTAAAACTGAATGCTGAAAATGTATCATAGCAGAGAACATGATGTTTGATATAAAGAAATGCATAGGAAACTTGGGTAACTGTTTTACTTGCTAATAGCCCAGAAATGAGCATTGGTGGGAGGGGTGTGTAGTTGGGGATGGTGTCTGGAGGGGTAGCATTGATAGAGTTAGGTGTGGGGATGAGGTGGGGAGAAGAGTCTTGGGGATGTCGTTCCAGGTATTACATGAGTCAATCGGGCTTCTGGGGGAAGGAATGTTTCTTGTGAATAGAAGGTCTTAGCTATAGTTGAGCATATGGGTGTGATCAGTCAGTTTCCCTTCTTCTCCCTCCCTCCCTCACTCTCTTCCTTCCTTCTTCCTATATAACAAATATTTTTAAAACTACTTTATTCCAGGCACTGTGCCATTAAGAATCCTAACTCATTTAAAATTGCCTTTCTATTAATGACTGGGTAGGAGGGAGGGTGGGAGTACCATTAGGGGCTGTTGGAACAGCAGATAAGGAAGCTAAGGCCCAGAGGGGCAGTCAGAGATACTCACATAGTAGTGTATTTGCAATCTCCATCAACCCAACAGTCCCCTGGGCTAGCTGGCCTGGAAGTGGACTATATTTTACCTCCTTATAGTCCTGGAGCCTCCTGCCTACAAGTTCCCTGGGGCTCTTTATTGAATATGCAGGCCTTTCTGTTCAACGTATTCAGCAACTCAGAGCCTTATAGTAGAACAATTGGAGGAGAATTGTCAGATGGAGATGAGGGAGAATGAAAGGGGAGACAGAAAACAAAAGCTGGAGAAAAGAACAGCTCAAGAAAGGTTTGCTGGAAAGTTCAAATTTTTCCATGCATACTGAACAAGAAGAAAAGTGCTGAATAAATGCACTCTTAGACATTGATTACAGTCTGAGTGAGGCTGTCTCATTACATGAGCCCTCATTATGTTATACTTAAAAAGCATAATATGGTGTAACCTGAGGGTAATAAGCCAGCCAAAGCACTTGCAGAATTCACCCTGGGAGCTACAGCCACCCTTGGCATTCTTCATAAACAGATTTTTATCAGGAGAAAACCCCTCAGGCTGGGGTGGAGGAGGCCCCCCTCCCCACTCCGAGAGAAAATGCCAGGATTCGAGTGACTCTCTCCTCTCTTCTCAATTCTCTTAACGGAAGCTACACCTCAAAGGGCCTCAGGTTCATTGAAAGGATCCCAGTTTGGTTTGCTCATTTATTTCTCCATCAAGTATTATAGAACACCAACTATATGCCAGACATGTGGCTAGGTGCTGGATACAAGAGCCACAACTGACTTGGTGTCTGCCTTCATTGAGCTTCAGGATAAAAAATTACACAAGTCAATGAAAAATGACCGTGGTAACAATGGCTATGAAGAAAGATTATATTGTTTCAGAAGACGCATATAGGGAGATTTGATGTAGGCAGGGCTGAGACAGGTAGGCATTCACCAGGAAAAGGGTGGGTGAATGCCAGAGGGCAGTTGTGCACAGGGAATGGATGCCAAGGCTGTTGGCAGGAGGAGAGAACTACGGAAGACCACTGTGGGAGTATTTGGGGCTGGCAGAGGCCTGATCCTACAGGGCTTTGGAAGCTCTGTTACTGGAAAGGGGTCCCAATCTAGACCCCAAAAGAGGGTCGTTGGATCTCATGCAAGAAAGAATTCAGGGCAAGTCTACAGACTAAAGTGAAAGTAAGTTTATTCAGAAAGTTAAAGAATAAAGAATGGTTACTCCTTAGACAGAGCACCCCAGAGACAGGTTGCCATTTTTATGGTTATTTCTTGATTATATGCTAAACAATGGGTGAATTATTCATGTCTCCCCTTTTTAGACTATATCGGGTAACTTCCTGATGATGCCATAGCATATGTAAATTGTCAGGGCACTCATGGGAATGTAGCAGTGAGGACGACCAGAGGTCATGTTGTCACCATCTTGGTTTGGTGAGTTTTAACCAGCTTTACTGCAAGCTGTTTTATCAGCAAGGTCTTTATCACCTGTATCTTGTGCTGATGTTCTATCTCAACCTGTGACTTAGAATGCCTGTCTGGGAATGTAGCCCACTAGGTTTCAGCCTCATTTTATGAAGCTCCTATTCAAGATGGAGTTGCTCTGGTTCCAACACATCTGACAGCTGCATAAGAATTCTTACGAAAAAGGGGAAATCATGGTGTTCTAAGCAGAGGGTGATGGACTCACCAGCTCCTTCTGCCTCTCCCAAGGTCTCATTGCATGTCAAGAGAAGCCTGTTCAGAGTCCTGACTCCCTCTCTCTTGCACTTGCCCCATCTAGGGATACCCACTGCCATTCATTCAGCCTTAGAAATTACTCTCAAATGGATGTTTCCTGCTTCCTGAGCCCACTGCCTCTGCCAGAGTGGGAGGCCTAGCCTTTCCAACCCTAGATTGCTGCATCCTTCTGTTCCTCCACTTAACAGTCTTCCCTTTGCAACCCACCCTCCATGGCTGGTTTCCTTCCTAAAATGCACACCGACCTTTGCCTGGCTCCCCAGAGCCTACAGAAGAAATCCTAGTCTCATTTAAAAAGCCCCCCAATGCTCTGCTCCTTCTGACCTAACTTACCTGTTGCCTTATCTCCTTTCTCCCCATATTCTTCCTACCTTCCCTGTACATCTGATGCTATAGTCCCAAGGACCTTCTCAGCTTTCCCCAACCAACACATCATCTCTGCTATTCTGTCTTCCTAGAACGCCCGTCCTTCCCTCTTTTTACTGGAAAACTGTAACCATAATGGGTCCATTGTCTGATGTGAGGAGCAAGGCAATATACCAAGATACTGGGCTGCAGCAGAGACAAGAGATTTAATTGTAGAGTTACCCAAAAAAGATGAGAGGGCATCTCAAATCCATCTACCTGAAGAGTTTGGGGCTAGGATTTTTAAGGATTTTGGAATGGGCCAAAGTGTGGAGAACATGAATTGGTCAAATAGTGCAGGGAGAAGTCCTGGGACAGGGACTCTCATGCTAATTCCATTTCTTTGTAGGAGTCTTCAAACTGGCTGGCATCAGCTATTTTGCTGGAATTTGGGATCTGAAAAATATCTTAAGTGATCCTTTAAAAAAGCCTTATGATTCAAATATCAGAAATCTTCGTTATAGGAACAATGGGTACACAAATGATCAGGTATCTTGTGCTAGGAGACTTTTAGCAACAAGGAAGTGAGTCAAAGTACAGCCTAATTAACGCTTAATTTTAACAATATTTTTGTCCAGAATTTTTAACTATATGAGGATGGCTTTACCTCCTATTTCTCTAACAACATAGAAAAGGAAATGTTAGGACACCATCAGCTCTCCCAGGCAGGATAATTCTGCTGCTGCAGGTCCTTCTCCCTGGCTGGACTGAACCTCTGAGGGAAGATAGTCACATAGTACCTGGCCCATGGTGGATGCTCAAGAGATGATGATAGAAGAGGTCACATGTTATATGCTCTCATTTTTGTGAAATTTCCAGAATAAACAAATGTATAGAGACAGAAAATAGATTAGTGGTTGCCAGGGGATGGAGCAGGAGGGAACTGGAAAGTACGAGTATTGGAAATGGGTTTATAGCGTTGGTAAAAATCCGCACTGAGACAATGGATCACTCAGCAAGGCTAGTTTACTTCCTGCAGGAAGGGTGCAACCCGCCAGCGGTCTTGCCCCGAGAGCGTACCTGAACAGAGGAGACAGGGACATTTATAACTTTCATAACCTGATGCAATTGCCTTACTGCTGTGTCTAGTTCCATTGGTCAGAACAGGACCCTTACATTCTATGCTTGACCTGATTGGCTAAAAACTTGGAAATTTTCTAAAGAAGAAAAGGCAGAGGTGAATGAAAGAACAGAGAAGGTAACTTGAGGAATGCTTAGAGAAGTGATAACATTTTCAAATAAGGAAGGGGAATAAGGTATGACGTAAGACTTGCCTGGGCTCTTCCAGGCATGTAAGGGTGAATATCTGGGTTAAAGTGGAAGAACTAAGAACATGAGATGCACTTATTTCTTCATTATGATTAGCAGCTACTTTAAGATTATTAGCAAACATTAAAGTAAATTAACCTTTGAAGAAACTATGATTTATTCTTAATGAACTAAGAGGAAAGCCTGGAAGAGGAACCTTTTATTTATTCTTATTTTCTACAGTGAGGTTTCTTTCTTGGGCAATGAAAGTAGTTTGGAATTAGATAGGGGTGATGGTTGCCCAATATTGTGAATATACTAAAAACAATGGAATTGTATACTTTAAAATGGTTACAATGGTGGATTTTATGGTAGATGAATTTTATCTCAATATTTTTATTTTAAAAATGTTAAATAAAATTTATAGGAGGGCATTGATTGAGACCGAGCTCCTGCACTAGGCCCCTGTAGACCAAGCCAAAATGGAATGACTTGTGCTGAAGTCCCACATTATTAAAACGAAACTCAATTGTTTATCTTACCTTGCAAGAAATCAG